ATAAGTTTGTTTTTATGTCTGTGAGTCTGTTTCTGTTTTGTAAATAAGTTTATTTGCATTTTTTTAAGATTCCACATATAAGTTATATCATATGGTATTTTTCTTTCTCTTTCTGGCTCACTTTACTTAGAATGACAATCTACAATCCATCCATCATTAGCACTTCTTTTAACAAGGAAACCATACGTGTTGCTGGTGAAGAATGTTGAGGTCCTGAATGGTCTCCTATGGCAGCTTTGACATGCTGTGCAGGGTCTTCTTTTGAGTTTACGACATAATTTTCTCTTTCTTGTATATATTTTACATATTGATAAAAGCAGAAAGTTATCTGAGCCAGTTGTGGACCTGAATCGTTGCTTGCTCTTTAGAGTAACTGATGAGGAATTATGCAGAGAAATCAAGCGTTGGGCTGGTTCAGCACTGCTGGAACAGAACACCTTGGGCTCTGATTCATGCTCTACCAGGACGGTAGCTGAGCAGTGAAACACGGGAGCAGCCAGAGCGTGTCTGGGTCTTGCAGACAGAACTGCAGGCAACTGTTCAGCTCTGCGCTTGTCACCCTGGCTATCAGGATAACGATGAACAGGACATCCTTTCACTCAAACTACTTACGGATGAAGTGGACTCGGCTGCCAGTCTGGCCGCGTATCTGGCGATCAGCCGGTGCTCCTCGTCAAGCCGGTTGGAGCTCTCAAGCATACTGTTAAGGACAGAGCAAGAAGGAGCCTGTTAGGCAGCTGAGAAAGATGGACATGTTCATACTACCACCGTATGGTGGGAGTTGGGGAGAGTTGGGGTTGCAATTTCCATTTTTCAGGGCAAAACATTTGAAGGCTATACAAAACCCCGTTAGGTTAATGATACTAGACTTAGATTCGTGACATGATCTAATAGTGGTCAGGAACGTCGTTAATAAATCCTGTCTTACTAAGAAAGCTCCAAAGAGGAGCGACTTTTCTGATAGAAACTGAGAAAAGAGAAAGAATATCTTCTCTTTAATTGAATTTTATTGCCTTTAACAATTTTATTTCCTTATTACACAAGTCATACTTGTCTGAAATCAACACATAAGAAAATAGGAAAGCAAAAAGGAGGCAAAAAGCAATTGTGGTCACTGTGGTCAGCCCCCAGTGATCCCGCCTCCCGGCATTCACACTCCTGTGTGTAATCCTCTCCCTTTATTATGGGCTGGACTTAGCGGATTTCTTCTTCTTTTTCTTTGTTTGCTAAGAAGCTTATCCATTCTTTGCATTTCAGTTCACATGTTGTAACTATAGTGATTTCTTCTCTAAACGCCTAATCTACATTATAGCGAGGTCTCTCCTTCTGGTCTTGCTGTTCTTTTTCATTAAATCCTGTTGGATTTTTTTTTTTGTAGCACTTATATTGTGAAGTTATATGTTGTTTGGGTAGTTTGTTTTTGTTTTTGTTTAATTGAAGTATAGTTGGTTTACAATGTTGTGTTAATTTCTGGTGTACAGCATAGTGATTCAGTAATATATTATATACATATTCCTTTTCATTATAGGCTATTTCAGGTATCGAATATAGTTCCCTGTGCTCTACAGTAGGTCCTTGTTGTTTATCTGTTTTATATATAGTAGTGTGTATCTGCAAATTCTGAACTCCCAATGTATCCCGCCAACAGCCCCCTCAACCTTCTCCCCACCCTGCCCCCTGGCTTTCTTCCAATGAATAGAATGTGGCAGAAGCAATGGAAGGTTACTTCCAAGATCAGATTATAAAAAGATCCTGGACTGGATCCCCTTTGGAAGAGCCTTTAAATGAGACCACAGCCCAGCCGAGAGCTTGACTGCAACCTCATGGAAGTCCTGAGTCACACCCCCCCAACCAAGCCCAACATGGATTCCTGACCCTCTGTGAAATAATATGTGTTTGTTGTTTTAAGCTGCTTAGCTTTTGCATAATTCATTACGCAGCAAAACATAACTAATATAATTCTCATTTATCGTATTACTACCCAGGTTACTTGCCATTTTATATTTACTTTCAGAGAAGTAGAATTACGGTAGTGGCTTCTAGTGACATTAATGGGAATTGTTTAGGGTCTCCTGTACATTTATAAAAATTGTTCCTACTAGAGTGAGGATAATCCAACCCGCTAAAAAACTAATGCAAATAGACGCATTATCAACTCCCCCTTATTTCAGAAAGCCTTTATTAAGACTAGGTTTTCCGTGCCACTAGAAAAAAAAAATCTACGAAACATACCGGTAACACTAGTCCTGTTAACAGACTAGCTCATCATAGTTAGCAGTTATTATGGTGAGTGTCATGTCAGGATCAAGATTAAGGAACTAGTTCCTCTCAATCCCCAAATATACGGATTCTCTCCTCCATTGGCTCTTATACTTAAGCCTATTCCTTAAAGAAAACAATTAATACTCATGATTATGCATTAAAAATGACACATTTCTTTGCCACTATTAAGGTTCTAAGAATTATCCACTGAAAAGACTTGGATCCATATACAGTACCAGACATTTATATCATTTATGTGTACATTTGCATACACAGTAAACATGCCACATAATCTCTTACCCTTTGTTCTAAAGTAAGAAGATGAGTAAAATCACATTAGCAAGTCACTTCCAAGCAGCTCATCTCTCTCTGGAGGAATCCATTACCGTAACATGTTTTTCTGGTCATTTGGAAGATATTCACGTCTCCATTATCTCTGCTCTAGTCTATACACCTCCCATCCGTAAACTATACCTGTTCTTATCCTGAATTCTTCCACTCCAGGTTAGCCCTTTTCTCTAAGTTACTGTATGCTACCTAAGGTATTCCTGAATTTCTCCATTTACCAGATCGCTGTTCCATCCTCATAAAAGGAGTCTCCTCTTTCCTGTTGCCCAAATGAGGTGATGCATGAGAAAAGCATCGAGCTAGTATGATGTCTGGAATACATAAAATGCTCAAAAAATTAGTTAATGCAATATTATTATTATTTTGCCTCTTAAGTAACCTATTGAGACTCATTAATGATTCTTATCTCCTTTAAAATGCCATCTACCACCCAAAACTATCTAGAGCAGGGCTCTTAGACTTGAGTCTGTGCACAGGTCACGTAGGGATCTTGTGAAAACGCAGTCTCTGGTTCTGCAGTGGGGGTGATGGGGTAGGATGGAACCTGAGAACATGCATTTCTAACAAGTTCGCAAGATATGTTGCTATTGTTGGTCCCTAAGACACTTTGAGTAGCAAGGATCTAGATCTTGAAAATAAAATTTAAAAAGTTAAACACATGAAATGAACCCCAAGTGTAAACCATGTAAATAAAAGAGATCATTTTTCATGAGTATTTAAGTGATATTCACATAGCATGTGTGTGATACTTTACAAACATTTGCTTAAGACAGAAATTCTAGGATTCAGGGCTCACACATGTGTAATATTAATCCCAGTGGACTGGGATTTCAATCAGCCTACAAACTTAGAGTTGGAATAAAAAAAAATACTTTTACTAGTAAAAGGCAGAATTAGTTCTGGACAACTGATGCTTTAAGGCAGATAGTTAAAACAGATGTATTACAAAACACGTCTGCACTCTGCAGTGGTTAAAAATAACTGAATTTCTCATTAACAGCTTCAATAAGAAAGTTATGTTGTCCTTGCTTTAAACATAAAATCACCCCACAAAGAAACAATTTAATTTGATTTTAATACATTTATCATTTCTGGTTGGTGTGTTAGAAACCATACGCCTAATTCAACACAGTTCGTGCAGGCGACCAGGCCCACTGCTCCGAGCCCAGGACAGTGATCTGTTTCACCGCCTGAAAGTGACTTTGTCAAAAACGTTTGTGTTTTGATAAATAAATAATAGAAAAAAACCCCCTTGATTTAAAAAATAAAAGCCTCATGATAAAAGTGCCTTTTATCATGAGTGACCAGCAAGCATAAATAATATGAAGGTTATATAAAAATCATTTTGGAAAATGTTAGATGTGAAGTTCTGGGTTTTGTCTAGTAAGCTATAACTCATACTTCCATGCCTCTCCTCCCTCCTGCACTGAGTGAATGAGGGGTGGAGTGATGTATTGCCCCTTTGTGCACATAAACGATTTATGAGTCCACACGTGCCATTTTGGTACGTTCACATTACACAAGGGTGAATGAGGCATTCCTCTAATAAATTCCATTATTTCAAGACTTCAATTACAAATAGTTGAAAATGAATGGCCAATAATCCCTAAATCATTAAAGAAATACCAACTCCAACATTTTCTCCATCCCTGCCTATTCATTTCCAGACTTTATAATCAGTAATCTTGCTACAAGACCATGATGAATGATAAAGGGGCTGCTGTGGGGACTGCATTTCAGAATGGGGAAATCTATTATTTTGAAAGCTCTTCCACTTTCTACTTAAATACACGGCCAGCGTCAGCTGCTAGTGATTTCAAAGCGGCGTCAGGAAATGCAAGTGGCCCCCGTTGTGCCAGGACCTCCTAAACTGTGATTTAGCAGGGATTTCTGGGAACTCAAGGTTTGTTCACATGTCTCTGGTTTATCTGTAGGCCTGTTCTGACTTCCAGGGTGGGTGGGACAGTCAACCAAGTAATAATGTGATCCAAAGGGCGCCAGAAATACTTCTACGTTTTTCCTTAATATTTTTTCCATTTGTCTGAATGGTGCCAGGAATTTATCGCTAGATGAATTTTTAAGGTCATTAAGTGTCACTACTCTTTTATTAAAATGCAGATAGCTATTCGGAGGATTACTGTCCGAGAAGGCATTATTAGTTAATACCTAAGTGGAGGGTGACTTTATCAGGGTATTTTCTGTCTTTTGCAGTTGGTTGGGAGCAAAAGACCACAGGGTAGATACTGTCCTCCTGGCCTTTAGGAGTCAGTGACAAGAAGCAGGTGTGGGAAGGAATGACATGATACCGGGGCCAAGAAGTGGTTTTATGGGACTGAAGGCTGGAGAGGGAAACTAACTAACTCTCAGAGCTTCAACTGTTGACTGGTTTGCAAGGAAAAGACAGGAAATCACGAAATGCCCATCTTCATGGATAGTCAGCATCATAATGATAACTTATTGATAATAGTGGCTTCTCTACAGAGATGCCTTCAAACTCCTTTATTGAGACCCTGACTTTGAGAAACCACTCCGTTGCGTTATAATCGATGATCAAGGCCGTGCCTTCTACCTTCTACAAACTCTCAAGTTCCTCCGTTTCCTTCTATTGCAGCTGTCACTGACGTGCCCCCGGCCAGCGTCATCCTATCCTGAATAAGGGTAAAGTCCTCTCAGCAGGTCACTCTGATTTGAGAGTTATTCTGTCCTCCAAATTGTTTTCTACCCCATAGTCAGCGATCTTTCAAAAATGAAGTTGGCTGGAACATCCCTATATGTATAAAACTTCAATAGGTTCTCATTTCTCAAACTCCCCAAATAAGCCCGAGAAGATCCTGCATAATCTAGCTTCGTCCTTTACCCCGTGGCCTTACCACACTTAAGTTCCTCGAATGCACCACATCCCCTCTGCCCTGAGCAATCTCTCTGCCTTCTCCACCTGCTTCCACTCGGCCAATTCCTCTTCCTTCTGCTGTTGCCTTTGGCTGTCGTTTGCTACCCTCATGTCCAAACTCCAAATTCAAGTCCATCGCATCTCATACATCCTACAGCACTCTGCGCTGCACTGCCTTTTCTTTAGCTGTTATCTCTTTG